TCTCTCGGACAATCCGTTAGTCTTCAATAAACATAATAATATCTCCTATAGGTTTTAATGAAAACACCGCGTAGTTTTCTATAAAAAAGTACAAATCTTCAAACAAAAGTAGAGGGTCTTTTGTTTCTTGTAGAAGACGTATTCGTCATCCATAAAAATATGATATGGTGTTCTATTGAAGTAAAGGGTGTTTTTATAAGCCCGATAGAACTTGAAATTGTAAAAAATAACAAAAAAAATTAAATTTTAATCAATTTTTTTTTTCATTCGAAAGATCAATACGTGACATTAACATTTGAAAATGCACGATATGGGCACCGCGGCTGTTCTTGACGAAGTGCATTCTGGACGTCCAATTTTGGCCACTTTTTCGAGCAATGCTGGCCTCCAAGGCGTCAATTGTTGCTGACATATCAGCATAAACCAGTGACTTTACGTAGCTCCACAAAAATAATCGAGAGGTGTCGAATCGCTTTTTTGCTTATTAACAAACCCGTTAAGCCAAAAATGCACGTCATCGCTGAACACAATTTTGCGATAAAACAACGGGTCATTTGCCAACTGCTCTTGAGCCTGATTTTCAAAGTAAATTTGGATAATTTCATAGCGTTGTTCAAGCGAGAGTCTATTCATGATGATTTGCCAGAGTATATCGAAACAAATGAAAAAAAAAGTTTCATCAAAATTTAATTTTTTGTGTTACTTTTTACAATTTAAAGTTCTATCTAGCTTAAAAGAACACCCTGTAAATATTATTCGACTATAAAAATTCCTATTCTTCTTTTAATTTGGACTCATTACTCCTCTATAATAAGACCCTTTCGCTCTGTATAAAACGCGAAATGAGCATCCGATTATTTTCAAACTTGACACATCCCAATATTTCTACTAACACAATACCAATGGTGCAAAGATCGAATATATCGGACCACTCTTTCTGGTACTTCGACCACAAATTGTCAAAATTTTAAATAACATAAACTCTTATAAGTGCGAAGTAACCATCCGATTCCCATCAAATTTCAAACATCCCAATACTTTTATTAACACAAGATTCGGTGTGAAGATGACAGATATCGGTCCACCCTTCTGGGGCCAACAACAACATAAAAGGGCCAACATTTTCAATATATATTATTTGCAAAACAAATCAACGATTCTTCTAAAACTTGGTATCTTGAGATCTGATGTGAATTTAGGTATAAAGTGTCATCGGTAATATTGCCAGATAGGAACGTGGGGACAATTTTTTATACCCTACACCACAAGGTGGTCAGGGTATTATGTCTATGTGCATTTGTTTGTAACAGGCAAAAGAAAACGAGATAGACCCATAGTTCCTTTTGATTATCTGCATAGAATCACATTCTGAGTCGATTTATGCATGTCCGTCCGTCTGTCCATGTATTTTTGTAAACAAAGTACAGTTCGCATTTATTGCCCTATCCAGATGAAATTATGCACAAATCATTTGTTTGGCCCAAGGACGAACCCTATTTAAATTGGAGATAATCGGTCAAAATTTAGATATAGCTCCCTTATATATCTTTGTCCGATTTGGCTTTTATTGTGCACCAAACGTGTAATATCAGTCCGAAAAGTATGGAATTTGCCACGTACGATCAGATTGGACCTGAAAATAAGTATGATAAATTTGATCGAAATCGGTTCAGATATAGCTATAGCTCCCATATATATTGTTAATCCCATTTGTTATTTTTGTCCTCCGCAGCCGTAATATGCACTCTGTAACAACAATATTTGGGGAAATGTATCAAATACAGTTCAGAAATATCTTTGCCAAATTTTATCGAGATCGGTTCAGATTTGGATATAGCTCCCACATATATCTTTATCTGATTTCAAATTAATTTTGCACCAAATGGGCAATACAAGTCCGAATTTAAAAGATACAAATGCTTCGGCATATTTAGTCCTTTGAATTTTAAATTACAATTATAATCATAGGGTGTATGATTGAATTCTCCCTTAAAAACTTTTCATTGTTCTGCACAGCTCTACTAAATTTGCAAAGTGGTGTAGGGTATCATAAAGTTGGCCCCGCCCGACTTTAAGACTTTCTTTACTGTTTTTTTTTTTGAAAATTGTAACCCTAAAGCTAGTGAACAAGGGGGTATTTATACCCTACAACACTATGTGTTGGGGGTATTATAAGTTTGATTGGGCCAAAAATTATGTAACACCTCGAAATATTGAATTCTTACATAGGAAAGTATATATGGATCTTCCTATCTCGCCGAGTCGATCTAGCTATGTATGTCCGTCTGTTCGACTGTCCATGTTAATTTGTAATCACTCTACAGGTCGCAATTATGGCCCAATCCTCACGAAATTGAAATAGAACCAGAATAGAACCCTATTGTTTTTGGAGATGATCGCATAATATTTAGGGATTTTGCAGTTGCTCTACGGGTCGCAATTATTATTAAAAGTAAAATTTTAAATTAAAACGCGAATATTTTTAATCCCGGCGAAATCACAAATAGACGAACAGGTCAAATCTGACCGTTACGTAGATGCCGATAGTAAATATGTCGGATGTATATAGCGAAATATGTACAATGTGTATATACAAAAGGGAGGGGATGTTAGCTAGAATGCTTATATCTCCAGAATGGCTGGACCGATTTTGACAAATTTTGTAAATTTAGAATGCCCTTTTGGCATAAAAGTATGAACTCTAAAAAAATCGCATAAAAATACGCCAATAATGATGTTAATATAGATTTTGTAGTATGACATATTTTTATTTTTCCATATTTTTTATCGCATGCGATTTTTTTTTTAATTTGACTTATAATACTGAAGTGTATATTTTGTAATATTTTTTCACTTTACAACACAGGTTGGGGTTATTATTTATGTAAGGATTGCAATTATCTTTCGATCCTCACGAAATTTTTGACAAAGGTAGGGTTAGGCTCAGAAGGGCTAAGCCTATTAATTTCAAAGATGTCCGCAATATATTTAGGGGTTGAAATGGACCAGCAACTCAACATGTTTCTACTTTTGCAGCCGTGATAAAGGTCACAAATAGAAACCAAAGGACACGAAATCTTGCATGAAGTTAGAATTTAAGACAGCGGGTAGAATGGACCACTACTTTTGTGTGAAAAAATACCAACATTATTTACAGGCGATATCCGAAATACACAATAGGCGAACTTCTGACTTTTTTATGCTGATTTCGTTGAAGAATATAGCCAAATTGCTTTTGAAGATGATCGCAAAATATTTAGGGGTTCCAATGATACAAATACAGAAAAAAATTCCTGATCACACAATTGAAGTCAATCGACACGCATGAGAAGAGAGGTAAGAACAGGGAAGGGATTTTGGATGACCATTGGATTATGTTTAGCCGTAAAATGGACCACAAAAATTAATAGCACGACGGAGTGCATAAATATTGGAAAAATGTCCCTGGTCCAAATTCTAAGGGTAATATCTGGGCAGTGCTCCGTGACATAATTTCAAAAGCGAAATCTTCCAAAATGGATTTGGACATAAGGGGGCTTCTAACATATTGTAGTGTTGTAGGATATCAAATGGTCGACCCCGCACGACTATAGCCTTTGCTTACTTGTTTTTTGATGATTTTAGCTACATTTTTTAAGTTTCGTTTTTTATACCCTACACCACATAGTGGTAAGGGTATTATGTCTTTGTGCATTTGTTTGTAACATGGAGAAGGAAACGAGATAGACCCATAGTTACTTTTGAGAACCTTCATAGAATCACTTTCTGAGTCGATTTATGCATGTCAGTCCGTCTGTCCGTCCGTCCGTCCGTCCGTCTGTCCATGTATTCTTGTGAACAAAATGCAGGTCGCATTTATTATCCGATTGAGATGAAATTTTCCAAACAATATTTTTTGGCCCAAGGACGAACCCTATTGAAATTGGTGAGAATCGGATCAAATTTAGATATAGCTCCCATATATATCTTCATCCGATTTCGGGTTAAATGTGCACCAAATATTCACTATCAGTCCAAATTACCTGAATTTTGGCACACCCAACCGAGTTCGGCCTAGAAGCAAGTATATCAAATTTGGAGAAAATCGGTTCAGATATAGCTATAGCTCCCATATATATCTTTCATCCGATTTGGTGTTTAAGCCTCTCACATTCGTAATATGCACTCCACAAGAATGATATTTGGTACCAGATATAAGATACAGCCCAGAAATAGCTGTTTGTAATTTTATCGAAATCGGTTCAGATTTGGATATAGCTCCCATATATATCTTCATCCGATTTCGGGTTAATTGTGCACCAAATGGCCGATATAAGTCCAAATGGACTGAATTTTAGTACATCGGACCAAATTCAGCCTAGAAGCAAGTATATCAAATTTGGTGAAAATCGGTTCAGCAACCATATATATGTTACAGCAACCATATATATGTTTCATCCGATTTAGAGTTTTAGTCCCATACATTCGTAATATTCACTCCACAACCGTCATATTTGGTACCAGGTATTAGATGGAGCACAGGAATAGCTGTTTTAAATTTGATCGAAATCGGTTCAGATTTGGATATAGCTCTCATATATATCTTCATCCGATTTCGGGTTAAATGTGCACTAAATGGTCAATATCAGCCCAAATCACCAGTCTAGAAGCTAATACGTAAAATTTGGAGAAACCCGGTTCTGAGATAGCTATAGTTCGTAAAATGCACGATAGAATTAGATAGATTTTGATTTTGTACCAAATATTTCATAGAGCTCTGAAATGCCCTGTATAAACCTTTTAACGAGAGCTCTACTAAATATGCATAGTGGTGTAGGGTATCATATAGTCGTCCCCGCCCGACTTTTGAGCTTTCCTTAATGGTTTTTCAAGTTTCGAATTTGAGTTTGATAATGACTTATGACAAACAATGCCTTTGTAGGTCCACGTTGTATAGACACCAATATAACAGCTATATTTTTATAATTTTTTAAGGATTTTTTTCCAAATTCATTTCTAATGGTGGAGGGTATTCAAAGTTCGGCCCGGCCGAACTGACTGATTTTTAACTTATTGTTACTTGTCTCTAATAACGTGTTCTCTAAAGCATAATAAGCGCGGATCCTAACCCCATACAATGTTTTATTATTGCCGAATGTGAGCAACCTCAGAGCCGACGTAGATGCAAATTATGCAATTAAAATTCCGCACGCGCACAAAACAAACAAACAGACGTATTTATTTCCTATTTTTAGAGGAGGGAGAATGCGAGACTTGGAAGTAGAATTGTGCTAACAATGCAGTTAGCATCGTTTAGCTTAGTTCAGATAACATCGATAGCCATGAGCGTGCGGATCATTTTAATCGAAGCCCTCTACAGCATTTATGTACTGCTCCAAATTTTAGTCTATCCTCTGCTAGTTGTCTTTGCCATAGTCGAAGTGTTGAAGAGATGGTTTAGGAGATTGGGCTGCAGCAGAATGCCTTCGCTTTGTGGTGAAGTTGCTCTGGTAAGAAGTAGGGGATTTTATTTAAATTATCAAGGAGATAATGTAAGGTTTTTGGTGTTAATAGATTACAGGATCCGGCCGAGGATTGGGTCGTGAAACAGCCATTGCATTGGCTAAACTTGGCTGCCACCTGGCCATTGTGGATATTCAGGAACATTTGGCAAATGATACAGCGCAATTTATTGCGGAAAATTATGAAGTTAACACCAGAGCTTATAAGGTAAGCAAATGAAGCTGCGATAAACATTTATGGCGGTCTCCCATCTAGGTGATGGAATGGGGAGATAAAAGGATTTTTTTCCAGGTATTCCAGTTATTTATTGCTGTCAGTCCTATGGCTAGCGAGGGTCTACTTAAACGATATCCATGTCTTCTTGAAGGAAATCTATTTCGAATTATCGATAGAGCGATGGCCGTTCATCTGCCCAGCTGGATCTTAGTATACACTAGAAGGGAGTATCGTGTGTGGTATAATTTGGAAGCATTGTAAGATTTTTATCAAATTCAGAACAGATCGGAAGATGGACAATTCTAACGTAGTTTTCTCGTTGGCTAAGGAAAGCTCAGTCGCTGCCAGGGTCTCACTGTGGACCTGCTAAACCCAATGAAATGAGAATAACAGAATTCTTCCTTTCCTGGGGTAAACATCGGATATTTTATTGATTTAAATACTAAATTACAATCTAATCGTGGTTAAATGCGATAAAATAGATCGGAAACTCAATATATAGCTGTTTAGGTGAGATTGCTGATAGAGAATTCCATGTTTACGACGGTGTGGAAGGCTAGTGTCCGGATTCGCTTTCTGACGCGTTGTAGATAATCGAGAGCTATGATGTATGGACAAGGATCTTCGTGTTGTAGACCATTGGTAGAGAATCGTGATTAGTTCAACTTTGCGATATTCCAAAAGAAGCAGACCGTCATCATTGCTACTGTGCCCCTTCGGTAAGGCAACTATGGCATCAGCTCGGTATGACGTATTTCTCGTTAAAAACAATGAAAAGGGTACTTCCATTAAAGTATGTGACTTAGACTATCTGTCCTACAGTAAGTTGTGATTTTAAGTTGCTTTCATCATGTTCTCATACTGATCACGCTTGCATATCTTGCCATCTAGTTCACAATAGCCAAAAGTGTGTGTCAACAGGGTGAGATAAAAAAACTGCAACTTTTTATACCCTACACCACAAGGTGGTCAGGGTATTATGTCTTTGTGCATTTATTTGTAACAGACAAAAGGAAACGAGATAGACCCATAGTTCCTTTTGATGATCTGCATAGAAACACATTCTGAGTCGATTTATTCATATCCGTCCGTCCGTCTGTCCATGTATTTTTGTAAACAAAGTACAGTTCGCATTTATTGTCCGATTCAGATGAAATTTTGCACAAATCAATTGTTTGGCTCAAGGGCGAACCCTATTGAAATTGGAGATAATCGGTCAAAATTTAGATATAGCTCCCATATATATCTTCTTCCGATTTGCTTTTTATTGTGCACCAAACGTGTAATATCAGTCCGAATAGTATGGAATTTTGCACATACAACCAAATTAGGCCTGAAAATGAGTATTCCAAATTTGATCGAAATCGGTTGAGATATAGCTATAGCTCCCATATACATTGTTCATCCGATTTGTTATTTTTGTCCTCCGCAGCCGTAATATGCACTCTGTAACAAAAATATTTGGGGAAATATATCGAATACAGCTCAGAAATACATTCGGTTCAGATTGGGATGTAGCTCCCATATATAACTCCGTCCGATTTAGCTTTTATTGTGCACCAAACGCCTAAGATTTGTCCGAATGGAATGGAATTTGGCAATTACGAACGAATTGAGTCTAGAAGCTAGTATATCAAATTTGGTGAAGATCGGTTCAGATATAGCTCCCATATATATTGTTCATCCGATTTGTTATATTTGTTACCCCCCAACCGTAATACGCACTCCGTAACAACGATATACAGGGAAATATAACAAATACAGCTCAGAAATATCTTTGCCAAATTTTATCGAGATCGGCTCAGATTTGGATATAACTCCCATATATATTATTATCCGATTTCAAATTAATTGTGCACCAAATAGGCAATTCAAGTCCGAATTTTAAAGATACAAATGCTTCGGCATATTTAGTTCTTTGAACTTTAAATTATAATTATAATCATAGGGTGTATGATTGAATTCTCCCATAAAAACTTTTAATTGTTATGCGCAGCTCTACTAAATTAGAAAAGTGGTGTAGGGTATCATAAAGTCGGTGCCGCCCGACTTTAAGACTTTCTTTACTGGTTTTTTTTAATTTTATTGAATAATAGAAAACTATGTAGCTAAAATCATCAGAATTCCGATTATACGGCGTGGACCTGCACAGACAATTTTCTGTCTTCCAACACCAAATTTGAAATAATTTCGCTGAATAATTTAGCTAAAATCATCAAAATTCCTAATATAGGGAGGAACCGTTATATTGGGGCTGTACGAAGACGTTGACCTGCACCGACAATTTTCTGCCATAGGCTGTAGTAACCATTACGATCTTCAAACATCAAATTTGAAACAATTCCGGTGAATAATTTCGCTAAAATCATCAAAATACCGAATATTGGGAGGTATAGCCCCCGTTATATGGGGGCTATACCAAGACGTAGACCTGCACCTACAATTTTCTGCCATAGACTGTAGTACCTGTTACGAACTTCAAATAACAAATTTGAATCATTTCTGGTGAATAATGCCGCTTAAATCAGCAAACTACCGAATATATTGAGGTACCGTTATATGGGAGCTACACGAAGACGTAGACCAATTTTCTGTCAGAGGTTGTAGCATTCATTACGAATATCATATACAAAATTTGAAATAATTCCGGTGAATAATGTCGCTAAAACCAACAAAATACCGAACATCGGAAGGTACCGTTATATGGGGGCTATACGAAGACGTGGACTTGCATGGCCCATTTCCTATACCAAAAGTCCTGTAGACATAGTATACATATGAGTAAAATTTTGTCAATATACTTCAATTCGTTCGGAAGCTAGAGTGATTTCCACACGGACGGACATCGCTAAATAAATTTTTATACTGATCAATAATATATACTTTGTGGGGTCTAAAATGTATATTTCGAGGTGTTACAAACGGAATGACAAACTTAATACACCCTCCATACTATGGATATAAAAATGTCGGAAATAGCATCAAATTTTAGAATATGTTTACATTTGTTCGAATTAGTCACCTTTGGCACGAACCGTGGCCTTAAAATGGTCAATGAGACCAGTCGCGCGCTGACCAAATGTTGCTCTGCTGTATTTTGGCCCATTTTCTTCTTGAGGTGATCGACACTTTTTAGTGCCAACCTTGCTTTATAAAATACTCCAGACACAATAGTCCAACCGAATGGTATCCGGAGATTTTTGTGGCCATATTGCCCTGGAAATGAAGCGAGGAACCTCATTTTGTAACCTTTCTTGGATGGCGCGTGCCGAGTGCGATGGTTGGTGGTGAGTCCTGTTGGAATGTCCAAGGCCTGCGGCCAAAATGTTTAATACACCCTCTAGAATATTTTCGCGGTAATATTCGGCATTTATTCTTATGCCAGGGTCAATTAATATGAGCGGAGAGTGGCCCTCGGCTGTTATGGCGGCCCACATCATCACCATGGCCCGTGCTTGAGTTCTGGTGGCCAACCGAAGGTGCACATTTTCAGCTGACCTTTTCGACAAGTAAACACGATCATTTTGTTTGCTTACAAACTGCTGGGCAACGAATGTTTTCTCATCGGAGCGGAGAAAACCAAATTCGGCAGTTCATCACTTTCGGCCAAGCGAAGCAACTCTTTAGCTCTTTTGAATCAATTTTCTTTCTGTTGCAGTTGCAGAATTTCAATGGCTTTACACCGAGCTCATTTTTTCATATTTACCGATTGAAATATTGCGATATGTTCAGCTCACGAGCTATTTTTCGGCCACTGCGACGCTGGTTTCGATCAAGTCGCTTCTTTACTTTTCGAACTATTTCTGCTGATGCTGCTGTTTTCTTCCGTCCACTTCCTTGAAGTCGGTCGGGCTACGCTACCAGTATCACGGAAACGAGCGCTGGTACGAGACACAAAAGATTTATTCACATTTAAATGCTGGAGTGTTCTAATGATAGCCTCTAGTGGTGTTCCCGCCAAATATAAGGAAATCAGACTATCACGCTTGAATTCCATCACGAATAACTGTTTTCTGGAAAAATCTCACCAAAATGCTTTTGTACGCTTGTCTCTCGAATAATTTTAACAGCTGTCGGTCAAGTGGCTTAGAAATGCCAGCAGTCTGAAGTTGGTTGCAGTATTTTCATCTCACCCTGTACACACTTGGAGGGCACCTAAACTACATAGGAAAAACCATATTAAAAAACAGCCAAGACCGGCACCCGAAAAAGTTTTCGGAGCTAATATTGTTGAAAAATATATTCTGGCTTTAAGAACTAAGCTCTCTATCACAAAGTTGCGTAATATTTTTTTTTTGAAAATTTGGAATAATACAGGTCTCAAAACTATGATGGTGTGTGAAGTGTGGTGAATTGCCAATAGGCGAAAGTTGTGTTAGAGTGTAATACGATGTGGTAGGTAATGGCTGCTATTGAGTGGTGGATGCTTGCTCTTGCTATTGTTAGGGTGTACTTATTCTATACGTGATCACTTCTCTCACTTTACAATTGCGCGTAGGTGGGTTATAAAATTCTGAATTACTGTGCGGCGCCAGAGTAGTCTACAAAAGGGTATTCATACCTATTAAAACTTGAACATGTGGCCTCCCAACACCAAATGTGAAGCTTCCATTTATAGAAACCCTTTTTCCAGGTTGACGTTAGAGATTATCAGCAGTTATTGGATTTGAGGGAACGTGTTACAAATGACTTGGGAGATGTGACAATTCTGGTGAATAATGCTGCCATCATCACAATGTCTTCCATAGATGATCCTCCGGTTCATGAAATTCAACGTATGATTAATATTAATTTCACGGCACCGGTTTTGGTAAGGTGAATCATTTTTGAAAAGTTCGGAAACCAGAATACAATAATTCCCTTCCATTTCTTTTACTTCCAGACCACCAAGGTGTTTCTCCCGAAAATGAGGGAGTTAAATCGTGGCTATGTGGTCAATATCTCTTCGTTGGCTAGTATGTATCCACATCACACTTTCAACGTGTACGGAGCGTCCAAGGCGGCAGTTCGCCATCTAACCTCGGCGCTGCGAACCGAATTGTTAGAAGCGAAAAGTGCCGTAAAGGCCATTACCATTTGCCCCTCATTCTTGACCACCAATAGACGTGTCAATGATGTGGTGAAAGCTCTTAAACTGAATCGCATATTGGCCGATTTGGATGGCGAAGTTGTGGCCCAGTATATTGTCGAGGCCATACTGCGCGGTGAGACGGAGATTACGGTGCCGCATTGTTTCATTTGGCTGCGACGAATTGTAGCGTAAGTTGTTCATTTAAAGATTGTAGATTTTTTACCTTCCACCATAGCATGGAGGGTATCTTAAGTTTGGCATTCCGTTTGTAACACCTCGAAACGCACATTTTAGACCTACAAAGTATATATATTCTGGATCAGCATAAAATTCTATGTCGATTTAGCGATGTCCGTCCGTTTACCGTCTATCCGTCCGTCCGTCTGTGAAAATCATTCTAGCTTCCGAACGAATTGAAGTAGATTGATACAATTTAACTCAAATGTATATTATGTCTGTAGAACTTTTGGTATTGAAAATGGGCCTTGTAGGTCCAGGTTTTGTTATAGCCCCCATATAACGGTACCACCCGATAATCGGTATTTCGATGATTTTACCAACATTATTCACCGGAATTGTTTCAAATTTGGTATTTGAAGTTCGTAAAAGGTGCTACAGCCTATGACAGACAATTCCCTGTGCAGGTCCACGTCTTCATATAGCCCCCATATAAGGGTTCTTCCCTATATTCGGTATTTTGATGATTTTAGCGACATTATTCAACATTGTAATGGCATATGACAAAAGCTACCTATGCAGGTCCATGTCGTCGTATTGACCCTAATGTAATAGCTAAATTCGGTATTTCTAAGATTTTAACAGAATTTTTAACGGATTTTATTTTTGGAAGTTGCCAAAATTTGTACCAAATACCCTACACCACAAGGTGGTCAGGGTATTATGTCTTTGTGCATTTGTTTGTAACAGGCAAAAGGAAACGAGATAGACCCATAGTTCCTTTTGATGATCTGCATAGAATCTCTTTCTGAGTTGATTTATACATGTCTGTCCGTCCGTCTGTCCATGTATTCTTGTGAACAAAATGCAGGTCGCATTTATTATCAGATTGAGATGAAATTTTCCAAACAACATTTGTTTGGCCCAAGGACGAACCGTATCGAAATTGGAGATAATCGGTGAAAATTGAGATATAGCTCCCATATATATCTTCGTCCGATTTGCATTTTATTGTACACCAAACGTGTAGTATCAGACCGAATCGTATGGAATTTTGCACATACAACCAGATTAGGCCTGAAAATAAGTATGCCAAATTTTATCGAAATCGGTTCAGGTATAGCTATAGCTCCCATATATATTGTTCATCCGATTTGTTATTTTTGTCCTCCGCAGCCGTAATATGGACTCTGTAAAAACAATATTTTGGGAAATATATCAAATACAACTCAGAAATACATTTGCTAAATGTTATCGAGATTGGTTCAGATTTGGATAGAGCTCCCATATATAACTTCGTCCGATTTAGGTTTTATTGTGCACCAAACGTCTAATATTTGTAGAAATGGGACAGAATTTGAGACTTACGACCGAATTGAGTCTAGAAGATAGTATGTCTAATTTGGTGAAGATCGGTTCAGATATAGTTATAGTTCCCACATATATTGTTCATCCGATTTATTGTATTTGTTACCCACAGCCGTAATATGCACTCCGTAACAACGATATTCAGGGAAATATATCAAATACAGCTCAGAAATATCTTTGCCAAATTTTATCGAGATTGGTTCCGATTTGGATATAGCTCCCATATAAATCTTTATCCGATTCCAAGTTAATTGTGCACCAAATGGGTAACACAAGTCCGAATTTAAAAGATACAAATGCTTCGGCATATTCAGTCCTTTGAACTTTAAATTATAATCATAGCGTGTATGAACTTTTAATTGTTATGCGGAGCTCTACTTTATTAGCAAAGTGGTGTAGAGCATCATAAAGTCGGCCCCGATCGACTTTAAGACTTTCTTTACTGGTTTTTTATTTAACTACTTAAATTTTTATTTACAAATAATTAATTTATGAAATATATATTTATTACAGTACCCTACCAGCGGCTGCCACTGAGAGGTTAATGGCATTTATTGGCGGACTTGTTGATCCAAAGTGCAGAGAAAACGAATTGGCTCAAGCTCTGAGAACAGACGATGGTGTGCCCTTCGATAGTTAGGAGTTGAAGAAATATATAGACGCTTGGAATCGGCTTTAAGTCGGGATATGAGAAACCTCTTTTAATAAGAGTCTGCTATTACATTTTCCTTATACAACCCCAAAAAATTTACTTGACAAAAAGTAAAGGATTGTCAGACTTTGACCTGTATTTATTAGTTGTCCATGTTAATCAGTTTAGGCCACAATTACATTGTTTTCGTTAATCAAGAAAAAAAGTATTAAAAACAAAATGTCTAAAAATAAAAATAAATATATATTTTTTTATCATATTAATAATGTTTTTTTTTTTTCTTAATATTGGTTTTGTTGTTGCTGCAACTGGAAAGTGTTTCCTTGTCCAAGTTTTCACTCCGCTTGGAAGGAAGTCTTCAATGCATGTCACGTATTTTATTAAACATGGCTGCTGCCATGTTAGATGTTGTCGAGGCTGACGACGACGACGACTCGTCGTGATGATGTTGATGATGGTGGTGATGAGCAGCAGCAGGCCGCATGTTATTGCTGCTGATTTTCCTGTTTTGAAGAAGTGGCGCTCTTGATAACTACAACGATGTATTGCAATATAGCCATTTGAAGGAAGACATTTATTTTTTACGTTATATACAAGGCCTATATTATAAAGGACAATATCAGCGGCACCTTTCAAGGTCTTATAACTTAGCCAAGATTCCCAAAATTTAGACAATGAAAAAGCAAAGCAGAATTTAAAGTTCAAAGGAACTCATATATTTTAGGAATATGCTCCTGTGAGAATCGATGTTTAAAAAATTTGTCGAAGTATTTTCGCCTTTTCAATTCTGGCTTGTATTATCCATTTGGTGCACAATTAACTTGAAATCGGATAGATATATATGAGAGCTATCTGATATACATGAGAGCTATCTATCTAAACCGATCTTGATAAAATTTGGCAAAGATATTTCTGAGCTGTATTTGATATATTTCCCCGAATATCGTTACTACGGAGTCCATATTACGTATGTGAGTAACAAATATAACAAATCGGATAAACAATATATATGGGAGGTATAGCTATATCTGAACCGATCTTCACCAAATTTGACATACTAGCTCCTAGAATCAATTCGGCCATAAATCCCAAATTTCATCCCATTTGGGAAAATATTAGACGTTTGGTGCACAATAAAAGGCAAATCGGACGAAGATATATATGGGAGATATATCCAAATATTAACCGATCTCGATGAAATTTAGCAAGAATATTTCTGAGTTATATTTCATATATTCCCTCAAACATCGCTGTTACAGAGTGCATATTACGGCTGCGGAGGACTAAAATAACAAATCGCATGAACAATATATATGGGAGCTACATCAAATTTGGCATAATTATTTTCACGCCCAATCTGGTCGTACGTGCAAAATTTCATACTATTTGGGCCGATATTACAAGTTTGGTGCACAATATAAGGCAAATCGGACGAAAATATGTATGAGAGCAGTACCTAAATTTGACCGATTATCTCCAATTTCAATAGGGTTCGTCCTTGGGTCAAACAAATTATTTGTGCAAAATTTCATCTGAATCGGGCAATAAATGCGATTTATACTTTGCTTACAAAAATACATGGCCAGACAGACGAACGGATGGACAGACGGACGGACATGCATAAATAGCCTCAAAATGTGATTCTATGCAGATCATCAAAAGGAACTATATGTCTATCTCGGTTCCTTTTCCCTTTTACAAACAAATGCATAAAGACATAATACCCTGACCACCTTGTGGTGTATTTCAGACTTATCAAATAGTTTTTGTGGAAAATAAAAAAAAACGACTTTAAATGTTTCACTTTGTGAAAACTCCACTTAGGGCCAAATCGGCTATCCTCAAAATTAAAAGATTCTCTGAAAACTGGAAATTCCAAATTTCAACTGAGTTGATTTAAAATTTAGACCGAGATCTACAAAATACCTACCATTAAACGTGGATATAAATTAAATATTTTGAGGAGTTTATATTCCCACTCAGAACAAGTATCTCCAGACGTCGTAACGTATGCGGATGATTGTACGATCTTGTTGATGGTCACATATGTGTAAGGTTGAACCTATCTCATGGAGTTTGAATATGAATATATCCGCCAAATAATCTACGGCCACACTCTTTACCACATGGCCTGCGGATATGAGAACAGAGCTAAATGAGCAGGTCGAGAAAAATATAATTTCGACCACGAACTAACCCAAGATCCTAGGAGTCGCATTCGATACAATTTTTAAGTCGTCCGTGCAAGCCACAGCTATTTGCGACAAAATAAAAAGTGGGATCAAGGTCCACAAGGCGCTAACCGGCAATACTTGGGTGTGCGGACAAGGACACCTTGTTGATATCTTATAACGTGAAAGATCAGTCTGTGGTCAGCTATATGGCCCCATTGTGGCCTTGGAACACAAGTGCTACTCAGAGGAAGAACGTCCAGAGCTGCCAGATGGCCTGCCGGAGAACCACGACAGGGAGCCTCCTCATGACACCAGTGGACCATGTACGAGAGGACCATCTACGCAGATTCTTCCCGTACGTCAGTATAACCATATGTTTTCGTTGCACTACCTGCTTGGCTGCTATCGTGGGCGTCGTCGTGGGAAACTTCAATGGTGAATAAAGCTCCCCACCCAGGCGTGCCAGGAAGGCCATATTTGATCTAGAGAGGGAGGTCAAACGCAATAAGGGAAATGTTCTAGATCAAGAAGCCTGTCAGGCAAGTCTAGCGATCTATCTTTCATTCCGTCTTTCCGTCTATCTGGCTGGCTAGTGCGCACGATACCTCTCGAAGGGAGTATCCGGTTTGGTCCAAACTTGGTACACCGTAATATTATTATCAAATTTGGATCGAGATCGGAGGTGTGCAATATCATCACCCACAAAAGTTCGAAATCTTCAAAAAATATAATATTTTACCGCACCAAAAGAGAATGGATAGTCCGATTTCGCTCCAACTTTCCAAATTTTATGGTATATGGTATAAAGCTCCCTCACCCAGGCGTGCCAGAAAGGCCGTATCTGATCTAGAGCGGAAGATCAAACGCTATAAGAGAGAGGTTCTAGAAAAAAAGCCTGTCAAGCAAGTCTAGCGATGACCGTCTGTCTGGCTTGTGTGCACGATACCTCTCGAAAGGATATACGATTTGTTCCAAACTTGGTACATCGTAATATTATTATCAAATTTGGATCGAGTTCGGAGGTGGGCAATATCGGTCGACTCCATCTTGTACATCACCCACAAAGGGTCTCAAATTTCGATACTTCACAGCGGACCGATATTGTCCATTTTCGCACCTGACCTAGAATTGATACAACTTTTGCGATTTGCAAGTCTGCACAAAATTGGATGACCTTTCGTGTTCAATACGGTAAATTTTTTTTTGTGAAAATTTTCACAATTTTTTCAGAGAAAGTAGGCCGATATTGCCCATCTCTGAACTCGTTCTAAGTTTGCATCAAATTGGATATTCCCTTCGATAATTATCGTGCGCACCAGACAGAGAGACGGGTAGATATGTTTTGATCGACTCCAAATGTCCTGAAACTGATATATACCCTCTGTAGCCATATGACTAAGGGTAGAAAAAGGAGGAGAATTCAATGCACCTTCCTTCACTTCAATGCATCGACCATTTTCGTTCATTATTCACACGAATATAATCCAATTTTCTTTTCCTTCGGCCCTTAAAGTGTTTCGTACAAATTGTTGCTTCCTTAGTTGGAACAACTTTATCGCTCACAGATTTAACGTGTTCATTTGTTCGTGAACGCTAAAAGCAAAACAATTTAACCAAAAAAAACAAGAGATGTCATTGCTAGCGAACAATCGCTACAAGTTGATGTAAATGCAAATTTCGTTATTGTTGTTTTTGGTGTTCGCAATGCTGTTGGAGCAATAACAGTCAACCAATTTGTAAGAAAACAAAAACAATTATTTTCAAACCGAATTATATATACCCTTCATTAGTGACAGATTTTTCTAATAGAGTCCATAAATTAATAAATTCGCTTTTCTACGCCCATTTACCCATTACACATCGCATTCGCAGTGAAATGCCCTTATTGAAGTAATGTATTGGTAATGGAAATTGTAACGAGTACTTTTACTACAGGGTGAGTTAAAAAAACTGCAACCAAATTCAGACTGCTATCATTTCCAAGCCACCCGTCCGACAGCTGTAAAAATTATTCCTTTTTTAAAAGCGTACAAAGGCAATTTGGCGCGAATTTCCCAGAAAAAAAACTTATTCGTGATGGAATACAAGCGTGATAATGCGATTTCTTTATATTTGGCTGGAAAACCACAAGTGGCTATCGTTAGAGCACTTCACCATTTAAATGTGAATAAATCTTTTATGTCTCGTACCATCGCTCGTAACCGTGATACTGGTAGCGTCGCCCGTCGTCGAGGAAGTAGAAGGAAGAAAACAGCAACATCAGCAGAAATGGTTCGAAGAGTAAAGAAGCGACTTGATCGAAACCCTCGTCGCAGTGGCCGAAAAAAGGGCTCGTGAGCTGAACATATCGCAATATTCCATTCGGCAAATATAGAAAAATGAGCTCGGCGTAAAGCCATTGAAATTCCAAAAAGTGCAAGAACCTACACCGCAACAGAAATAAATTAGACTTAAATGAGCTAAAGAGTTACTTCACTTGGCCGAAAGTGGTGAACTGCCGAATATGTTTTTCTACGCTCCGATGAGAAAACATTCGTTGTCTAGCAGTTTGTAAACAAACAGAATGATCGTGTTTACTTGTCAAAGAGGTCAGCTGAAAATGTGCACCTTCGGTTGACCACCAGAATTCAAGCGCCGGCCATGTCCGCTATAACAGCCGAGGATCGCTCTCCGCTCATATTAATCGACCGTGGCATCAGAATAAATGCCGAATATTATCGCGAAAATATTCTGGAGGGTGTATTAAAGCTTTAGGTACGCAAACATTTTGGCCGTAGACATTGGACATTTCAACAGGACTCAGCAACATCACACTCAGCACGCGCCACCCAAGAATGGTTACAAAATGAGGTCCCTTGCTTCATTTCCAGCGCACAAAGACTACCCAAATCTCCGGATACCAATCCGTTGGACTATTGTGTCTGGAGTATTTTGGAAAGCAAGATTGGCACTAAAAAATACCAAAGCGTCGATAAACTCAAGCAAGCGCTTCGCCGGAAATGGG